GGGAGTCCCCATTACCTGTAAAGCGCTTTGAGTGGAGTGTCCAGAAAAGCGCTATATAAGTGTAAGCAATTATTATTATTATTATTATTATTATACTTTACAGAATGAAAATTCCCATTTCCAGCAGTCCCTGTGGACAGAGCCAGAGATTTTCACTTGCATCCAGAATTAAAAAGCCTGAACTGGACACATCTCTGGCGAGCCGAAGCCCGGAGCCTACAGAGGTACCCCACTCCCAGTCTCACCAGAGCCTCTCCACATTTCCGCCAGGTAACAGTCGGTCTCCCCCGGCTCCTTGCACAGCTCCACCACATCGCGGCAGCAGGTGTCAGGGGTGATGGGCACCTCTGTGAAGTGCTGGTCGTTGTTGCTGAGGTACACGGTCAGGAACATCTGGGGGCAGAGAGGACGGCTCGTTAGCACTGTTAAACTCTCGACGACAGCTCCGAGATCTCTGCACAGCCGTGCTTCCGGGATCCTCAAGGCAAGAGTGCCTGTGAAAAGGCAGTTTAGATCCTAAACACAACAGGATCATAACCTTTACCAGGAAATACTGCAGTTTTCAGAGGAGACAGATTTGATGATGATTATTATTACAGTGCTTTTCATAAGATATGCAGTACAGGGTTGAAACATAGACCATGTGGCCGCCAGGACGATTGCTCATCACTCCAGGCCTCCTCACACCTTCACACAGGTGGGCTAACAAGCTTGCTACACACACCCGCAACTACTATAGGTGGTATGACTGTTTAACAACCCTGTAACTTACTTTTCTACTCACAATACACTCTCCTATCCCAGCCTTGACAGATTTTTTAGCTTTGTGCAATGTGACCTTAATTAAAACCTTAAGGGTACTTGGAGAATCTAGGTACACACTTTTAAAAAGACTCTGACATTCGACCAGAAGCTAGTTGTTTATACCCCAGTTGAGCTCCAGTGCACAAACTGCTCCTGATCTAATTTCTTATTCACAGAAACTACAAAAGGTCAGGATGCAGTTAGGGGAGAGAGAGGATTCCCCACTGCCTTAAACACAGCTATAACACGTTAGCTGGAGTTTCTTTACAGAAAAAACAAACATTTTGCATATTATCCTGTTATTGCTTCCTATTCCTGTAGTCCTAACCTGGTAACTTTTTCTGTTCTCCTTTAGGCTTCATCATAAGCTTTTCCTCACTGCTGGACAGTCTTGAGCAGTGATGCAATACAGACTAAGACTGCAGCACCTAAGACGGATGCCATCTTCACTTCCTCACGAGCTCCGCCTCAGGGGCTGGCACCCCCTTCCCTGCTGCACTCTTACACTGTGGTGTTCAGCAGCAGCTGCGCTGATCCAATGGGGATCTGCAGTCTCGTCTCCAAGGGGCAGGACCAGAACATCTGTGTCACAGACTCGCTCACAGGCGAGAAACATGTCCACCTTCCTTTACACTTCCAAGAAGACGGATGCATTTAATCACAGCTGTGGGACCGATTTCTTGGAAAGGTGGGACCTGGGCCTGTGTTTTTTGAGAGGTCTCTGATAAATCAAATTAAGAAGGTTGCAAGAACTCTGAAATCAGATAAAGACACAGTGCTCCCGTTTATCCAAAACAAAGGCTGTTTTTTGGGCGAGGAAAGCAGATTCGTGCGTGATCAGGCTTTAATATTGCAGAACCATTTGCACTGGCTTTGTATAACGTAAGGAAATCCATCTGCCGAGTATCTTCTGTGAGCTGCTTTCATCATGGAACCTTTTCTTTAGGTGCTCAGCCTAAACCTGAACCTGTTTGCGCTGAGCTGATACAGCTCCGCACTCGGCACAGTTTGGGATCTGGTCTGGTAAGTGGGAACGCAGGGGGGAACAGAAAGCCAGAGGATGTCAGAGGACACGAGGAATTTGTTCTGACATTCTGGTTTATGATGAGGTCACACTTTCCATGACCCTGCGTCATGAGATGACATCAGCGTCCTCCACAGGTACACAAGACGCTATTGTACCAACACCACACAGGCAGGAAGGGGAGGTCACATCACGAGCAGGGGCCCCCGCATCCCCTAACAAACACCAACACCCTGTCC